GGTTTGGGTCATCCCCGGGATTCGGGTGACCTTCGGGGTTCGGGTCACCCATCGAGGTTCGGGTCACCCCCTGGGATTTTGGGTCACCCCTCGAGGTTTGGGTCACTTTCGGGGTTCGGGTCACCCACTGGGATTTTGGGTCACCCCCAGGATTCCCGGGCCACCCCCGAGCCCCCCCTGTGTGTGACACCCTCCCTACAGCCGGGACCCCACACCTGAGGGACACTTGGAGACACCTGAGGGACACTTGGGGACACCGGGGGGACACCTGGAGACACCTGAGGTACACTTGGGGACACCTGGGGACACCTGAGGGACACCTGGGGACACTTGTGGCACTCACCCTCGCGGTCGCCGCCTCTCCTGGCCCTGCTCCTGGCCCAGCCCGCCCAGTTGGGGGTCCCGGCTCGCCAGGTCCGCCAGGTTCTGCGGGGACAGGGGGTGCGGGGCTGAGCTCGGGGCTGTCCCCGCGCTGTCCCCGCGCTGTCCCCGCGCTGTCCCCGTACCTGCAGCAGGGCCGTGGTGCTGCGGTCGCCCTGCAGCAGCCGCCCGTAGAGCAGCACCCACTGGCTCACGAGGCGCAGGATTTTGCGCCTTTTCCGCAGGGAATAAGCGACCTTGTCCTGCTCCGAGCCCTCCAGCGGCTCCGCGCGGAAACTGGGACCAGTCAAGGGCACCAGTGACACGGGCACGGGGGGCAGGGACCACCAGGGATGTCACCCCGGGACGTGGGGATGCGCCCAAGAGCCCGAAAAATGGGATTTGGGGCTCCCCAGGAGGGGACAGGGACGGCGCTGAGCGTGTGGCAGATCCCCCAGTATCCCCCAGTATCCCCCAGTAGAAGGATACTGGTGCAGCAGGGCGCGGCAGAGCTGCGAGGTCGGCATGAACACGGTGTAGGTGAGCAGGAAATCCCCCAGCAGCGTGTCTGGAAGGGACCAGGACATTGTCACCTCTGTCCCCAAGGCCCTGGGGACACGGGCACGGCAGCCCGGGCTGTCCCCAGCGCAGGGCGGGGACAGATTTTTGTTCCTAAACCCCTCGGGAGGGGCTGGATCCGTGCCGGGGGTGGGGAGGGGGTTGGCGGGGGATGTCCCCAAGGCAGCTCCGGTGACACCGGCTGGCATTTGCGACACGCTGGGGACATCTCCTGGCTCGCGGCTTTCTCCTCTCCCAAGGCGGAGCGACACCGAGAGGCGGCCCCGGAGCTGCCGCCCTCTCCCGGCCTCGAGTTTTTTTGGGGAATTTTTTGGGGGAATTTTTTGGGGCTTGGACACCCCTGCCTGTCCCCAGCGCCATCTCCGGGTGGTTTTGGGGCTGTCCCCGCCACTTGGGGACACCCGCACGTACCCACGGGGTCGTGGAGGGTGGCATCGAGCCGCATGAACTCCAGCAGGTGCTCCAGGATCTTCTCGGGGGTCCCGGCCATCACCAGGTACCTGCTGGGGACACCGGGGGGGTGACACCGAGGACACGGTCACGGGGGTGGCACTGAGGACACGGTCACGGGGGGGTGGTGACACCGAGGACACGGTCACGGGGGTGACACCGAGGACACGGTCACGGGGGTGGTGGCACCGAGGACACGGTCACCGGGGCGGGGGTGACACCGAGGACACGGTCACGGGGGTGGTGGCACCGAGGACACGGTCACCGGGGCGGGGGTGGTGGCACCGCGGGGTGGTGGCACCGCGGGGTGGTGACACCGCTCCTGTCCCTTTGTTCTGCACCAAAAGTGACCCAAGGGAGGATGGAAAGGGCGGAGGGGGCTGGGAGGGGACAGCGACAGGGACAGAGGGACAGGGA